TTGGTTTTTCGAGACAGAGTTTCTCTGTGTTGCTTTGCGCCTTTCCTGGAATTCACTTGGTAGCTCAGGCTGGCCTGGAACTCACAAAGATCCGCCTGGCTCTGCCTCCTGAGTGCTGGGATTAAAGGCGTGCACCAATACCGCCCGGCGTAATTTTAAAGGTTTATTCTACTTTTAACTGTGTGTATGGTATGTGTCTATGTGGTTTGTGCACATGAATATAGGTGCCTGCAGAAGCTAGAAGTGTCAGATCATCCTGGAGCTGGAAATAAGTGATTGAGAGCTGTTTCGTGTGGGTGCTGAGCAGGTGCTTGGAACTGGACTTGGGTCCTCTCTAAGAGCCATCTCTCCAGCCCCTTATTAAGGTTCTTAAGTTTTTGGAATATAAAGAGGATTTTGTAATTGCTGTGAGAATGAAATGTTTGTATGGTCTTGAGATTCATACTCTGTGTTGCCTGGTATTAACAGTGTATTGGCAACATGGGGAATTGAAGTAAATATTTATGTTTCAGATTAAATTTTTAAAACTTGTGTGGTTTTTGTTCTGACATTCCTCAACAATCTCAAAGTGCCATTGGGCAGGCTGGATTTAGAGTACTGATGATAAGAGTACTAAAATCTTTTGATATTTTGGCTGAACATGGTGGTACATGCCTATAATCCCAGCACTTGGGAGGCAGAGGCAGGAGGATTTCTGAGTTTGAGGCCAGTTGGATCTGTATAGTGAATTCCAGGTCAACCAGGGCTGTGTAGAGACCCTGTCTCAAAAGCAGAGCCAGGCAAAGCAGTGTAAGTTGTGAGTGTGTTCTCAGCTGCATATGCTTCTGGAGTGCATAGTGAAATCCTGTCTCAGCAAAGAGATGAAGTGGCTATGGGAAGGTATAGCAGAAGCATAGTGGTTAGCTTTTTCCTTTAGTTCCATATAGTTCCATATCCTCCAGAGAGATGTTGCCTGCCATATAGTACCTTTGTATTTAGATTTAGAAACTGAATTATTATCATTATTATTATTTTAAGATTTACTTATTATATATACAATGTTCTGCCTGCATGTATGCCTGCAGGCCAGGAGAGGGCACCAGATCTCATTATAGATGGTCATGAGTTGGTTGCTGGGAATTGAACTCAGGACCTCTGAAAGATAGCCAGTGCCCTTAACCACTGAGCAATCTCTCCAGCCTTATTTTTTTGGTTTTTTGAGACAGGATTTCACTGTGTAGCCTTGGTTATCCTGAAACTTGCTCTGTAGAAAGGCTGGCCTCGAACTCAGAGATTTGCCTGCCTCTGCCTACCCCCCCCCCCCATGCTGGAATTAAAGGTGTGTGCCATCAACACCTGGCTAGAAACTGAATTCTAAATGAGATATGAGTAGATGGTCCTAAAAAAACAGGACTGTGGAATACTTAAACCATCGACAAAAAGTTAAAGAAATGCAGACTAGTTAACTTGGAGCAGAAGACTTACTGTCATAGTCTTATGGTCTTGTTGAATAGAACTGGACCAAATGGGAAGCCAAAGGGAAACTGAACTGAATTTAACATGAGGAAGGGCTGAATAAGCTTTGTTTCAAGGTAAAACTGGTTGCATTGTCAGTGAGGGGCAGAATTGAGTAGTGTTTCCCCCCCTCCCAATATTTATATATTTATTTTGGGAATGGGTGTATGTGTGTATGGAGAGGGGGTGTCCTACAGCACAGTTGTGAAAGTCAGGTGACAACTTTGGGGGTCAGTTCTTTCCTTCCATGATGTGGAACCCAGGAATTGAACTCAGGCAGTCAGGATTGTTGACAAGTTCCTTAATCTACCAAGCCAATGTTATTTTTTCTTTAAAAATTATTACTAAAACCCGTTTGGGAGGAAAATTAGAGGGAGTGATGCTTTTTGTGAACTTTATTGGTTAAAAACACACGGTAAGTAAGTCTTCGGTGCCATGGGTACTATTTGGATATTGATCAATCACTGTGACTAATACAACTTGAGGAAGGGAGAGTTTATATTTTGGCCTCTATGATGGCTCTGTTTGGATAGGAGGAAGAAGGCAATAGTGTGCTTCTAGGCAGAATTCTATACTAAGAAGATAATGAAAACTGAGAATTAAAGCACATCACTGAATGTACATCTTTCACTTAGCTAAGTTGTTTAATGACATAGATGTTAGGTGTGGACTCTCCTTTTTCATGTATTTACGCAAATTGCCTTAAACTTAAAATTTCCAGGGTAAAGAATGAGCTTTTAGGGATGGCGAGATAGTGTGGTCAGTAAAATGCTAGCAAGAACCTGAGCTTAATTCCCAGAGTGCACACATAACACAAAGTCAGGTCGGGTGATGCACTTTGAACCCCGATACTCGGCAGTGGAGACAGAATCGATCCCTGGGGCTCACTGTCAAGCCACAGTGCCTACTTGGTGAGTTCCACACTAGTGAGAGGCCCTGTCTCAGGGGGAAGGAGAAAGGCTAGCAGTGCTGGGGTGACAGTCGAGACTGTCCTCCAACTTCACGCGTGTATTCTCTCGGACGCGAACACTTGTGCATTCTCTCTCTCTCTTACACACACACACACACACACACACACACACACACACACACACACACTCACTCACACAGACACTTTCTCTCACACTCACAGACACATAAAATGAGTTTTTGCTGTGGAGGGTAAAATGAAGCTTTAAGCTCATAGATGGCTGATTGCTTTGCGTCTTTCATAAAACTTAACTGCTTTTAGTTTTACTGAAGAAAAATATTTATTAACAGACATATTTCTCAGTGCTGGAAGAGATTTGAGCGTTTAGAATAAGTCAGCAGACTTGAGGGCAGCAGGCATTATTGAACCTGAGGAGTGGGAGGCAAAGGGGCAAAGACTTGAGGGAAGAGAGGAGAGTGTCAGGAAAGGGACGTTCCGAGGATTCAGCCTCCTTAAAGGACGTGCTTGTCCTCTCTAGCCCTGTCTGGCTGGCCTTTGATCATGTGAAATTAGATGACGGTTCTGAAGTTCACTCTGTTTTTCTTTTTCTTTTTGATGTTTTCAAGACAGGGTTTCTCTGTGTAGCCATGGCTGTTATTTTACTTTCTTTTTAAATTACATTGAGTTTTACTTATTTACTGTATAGTGTGTGTGCATAGGAGCATGCGAGTATCGTGGTTCGTGTATGTGGCTGTTAGAGGACAACGTGTGGAGTTGGTTCTTCCCTCCTACCATGTGGGTCCTGGGAATCGGGTTCAGATTGTCTGACTTGGTGGCAAGTGCCATTATTGGCTAAGTCATCTTGCCAGCCCCATTTTTCCTTTCTTTTCTTTTTTCCACTAGGTAGACCAGGCTGGCTTCAAGCTCACAAGAGATCTGCCTGCCTCTGCCTCCAGGGTGCTGGGATTAAAGGTGTGCTAGGATGAGACCATAACTATACTTGTTAGTCATACAGTCACTTTAAGTATCCTGCTGTCTTACTGAGAGATCGTTGTAATGTGAATGACATGTCCTTGCTTCCCCCTCTCCTCATTTCCTTCCTGCCTTCCCTCCCATGTGCTTGTAGTTCACATGTATGTGTGTGCAGACATGTCTGGAAATCAGAGGATGCTATTGGCTATTCTTCAGGAGCTGTACATCTTGTTTTTTGATGCAAGGCCTGTTGTGGGGATGTAGGGTTGCTGATTTGGCTATACTGGCTGGCCAGTAAGCTTTAGAGACCTGCCTTTCCCCGCCTGCCCTGGGCAGGGTTTAACAAGTGCATGCTTGCTATCTGGGTGCTAGGCTCGGAATCAGGTCCTCATGTTTATCTCAGCATGTACTTTACACTTGCCGCCCCAGCTCAGCCTGCTCCCCCCACACCACACACACACACACACAGGGTTTCTCTGTGTAGCTTTGGAGCCTGTCCTGGATCTCACTTTGTAGACCGGGTTGGCCTCAAACTCACAGAGATCCGCCTGGCTCTGCCTCCCGCGTGCTGGGATTAAAGGCGTGCGCCATCACCGCCCAGCTCGGCCTGCCCTTTTTTGACAAAGGGAAACTGAGAGCTGCAAATTGAGGTGTACGATAAGTTCAGATTTTTTAAGATCATGAATTAAAGTAACTGAAATAGCTCTCCAGAGTTCCTTCTGCCTGATTAAACACTGTAAGTTTTTTGGAGACTCACTGTACTTATGTATGCATATATCGTTTTTTCAGGTAATGCGCATTGTGGATAATGTTCGTCCTGACCGACAGACAGTTATGTTTTCAGCTACTTTCCCTAGAGCTATGGAGGCTTTGGCCCGAAGGATCCTGAGCAAGCCCATTGAAGTTCAGGTTGGAGGCAGGAGTGTGGTTTGCTCAGATGTGGAACAACAAGTGGTAGGTACCGTTTTCAGGAAATTGTCAGTTTTCCTGGTGTTTAGGCAGTGTGTGTGCAGTCCTTTTTGTATCATAGTTGTGAGATAGGTAGATAACTTCTAAAGTTAAATATTAAGCATCAGTTATAACTTTCAGTCTGTTGCCAGGTCCCGGAACTGACTTAACAAATCTCTTTTTTGGTTCTTCTACCAGAATTGAGGGCTCACAGAAATGTTGTACATCTTTGTCTTTGATTAATAGGATTTGAAGTTGAGGGCAGAGAGAGCTGACCAGTCACCATGGTTACAGGCTCATCAGTTAAAAATTGACATTTGCCTAGCCATTTTAAGGTGTAGGAAGCTATTATTTTCTATTCATTCACTACAGATTAAACAAACATTTTTGTTTTAGGACACATTTGTGTTTTTTACATTAACTTGCTACAATGTGGTATTTTCAGATTGTGATTGAAGAAGAAAAGAAATTCTTGAAATTACTTGAGCTTTTGGGCCATTATCAGGAGTCAGGATCTGTCATTATATTTGTGGATAAGCAGGAACATGCTGATGGTCTTCTGAAGGACTTGATGAGAGCATCTTACCCTTGCATGTCTCTTCACGGAGGTAATGTGCTTAATTTACCCACGGGTATGTCTTTAAGTATTTAGCTTGCCAAGAACTGTCTTGTGCTCTGAGTAATATTTGCTTTGTTGTCTATAATGTAGATAGAAGAAATCTTACAGGTGTTTGACAAAATTTCACCTTTATGTAGTATAGGCTGCTATCTATGGCTCTTCACGTGATTGCCTTGAGATAGTGCCTCTCATTGTACCAGCTAGGTTTTCTGGCCATTGGGCTGTCTGAATCCACCTGTCTCCATGATCCAGTACCAGGGTTATAGGTATACTGTTTACATGGGCATTAGAGTCTTGAACTTGGGCAAACACTGTTTCCCACTGAAGCTTCTCCCTGCCTCCTTGTACCTAGAACTTTTTCATCATCCCAAATGGAAACTTTACCTGTTAAGCAATTATTCTCTATATCTCCCTTCCATCTGTCCATTAGAACTATTATACTTCCATACTATCTTATGTCTTTATGAATTTCTCATTCTTTGTACTATATATTGTGAAATAATACATTTTATATCCCTTTGTGTTTGGTCTGGTTCACTCAGTCATGATGATTTTATGATTCATTTTAACATGTATTAGATTTTCTTCTAAACACTGGATAATACCCTTTTGTGTATATTGACTCTCTCCCCTTGATTGACTTGTTGGTAGAGACCTGGGGTGATTCTGTAATTGACTGTTGTGTATGCTGTGAATGCGACATGTGGATATCTTAACAGCTTTCAGTTCCTTTGAGTAACCGAGTTGGTAGAGTCATAGAACTTGTACCTTAAGGTTTTTGAAAAATCATCAAATTGATCTCTTTCTTTCTTTTTTTTTTTTCTTTTTTCTTTTTTTGGTTTTCCGAGACAGGGTTTCTCTTGTGTAGCTTTGCGCCTTTCCTGGATCTCACTTGGTAGCCCAGGCTGGCCTCGAACTCACAGAGATCCGCCTGCCTCTGCCTCCCGAGTGCTGGGATTAAAGGCGTGCGCCACCACCGCCCGGCTAATCTCTTTCTTTTTTAAGATTGATTTATTTATTATGTATACAGTGTTCTGTCTGCGTGTATGCACAGATCTCATTACAGATTGTTGTGAGCTACCATGTGGTTGCTGGGAATTGAACTCAGGACCTCTGAGCCATCTCTCTAGCCCCAAATCTGATTTTTATTTCTGCATTTAGAACTTTCTTAGTGGAAACGGAAAATTTCAACATGTTTTTCTGTTTATCTCTTCATTGACTTGCAGGTATTGATCAATATGACAGGGATAGCATCATAAATGACTTTAAAAATGGAACCTGCAAACTCCTCGTGGCCACATCTGTTGCTGCTCGAGGTCTAGATGTGAAACATCTAATTCTTGTAGTAAATTACAGCTGCCCCAACCATTATGAGGATTATGTACACAGAGCTGGACGGACTGGAAGGGCAGGTAACAAAGTAAGTTTTACAGTCATGTCTTTATTAAAGCACAGGTGTTTGGTTTCCGGAGTCAATAGCAGAGGTTATGATGATATTTTGAAAATCTTTAGGTAGCAGAACATAATTGGATATTGTTAATCACATATGTGTATGTCTCTATATTGAGGGTTGTTTGTTTGTTTGTTTTCTAGACAGGGTTTCTCTGTATAGTTTTGGTGCCTGTCCTGGATCTCGCTCTGTAGACCAGGCTGGCCTCAAACTCACAGAGATCCTCCTGGCTCTGCCTTCCAAGTGCTGGCATTAAAGGTGTGTGCCACCACTCCCTGGCGATGTCTCTATATTGTTAAAATTACTGGTTATGGGGCAGGAGAGATGGTGCTTTGGTTAAAAACACTGGCTCTTTTTTGCAGAGAATCTGTATGTAGGCAGAGTTATCTTGTCCCAACCACCTGCTCCCATATGACCAGCAGCTGCTTCCCAAATAACTGACTCAGAGACTTAATATAAATTATAAATGCTTGGCCAATAGCTCAGGCTTGTTACTAATGAGCTCTTATAACTTAACGCTTTTTTTTTAATCTATGCCCGGAGGCTTGATCCTATTTTGTGTAGTAGACTCGTTCTCTGTCTAGCTGGTGTGTCCTCTGCTCCGTCCTTCTTTCCATTGTTCTCAGTTTGGCTTTCCTGCCTAACTTTATCTTGTTGAGCTATTGGCCAGTGAGCTTGTTTATTAAACCAATCATAGTGACATATATTCACACAGTGTACAGAAGGATTATTTTACAACACCTGTGTCTGTTTACAGTATTCACATGGTGATTCACACCCATTTGTAACTACAGTTCTCGGGGATCCCGATACCCTCTTATTGTCTTGGTTGGCACCAGGTATATATGTGGTGCACAGACATATAGGCGAAACACCCATACACATTTAAAAACCAAAATTAGGCTGGGCAGTGGTGGCACACATCTTTAATCCCAGCACCTGGGAGACAGAGGCAGGTGGATCTGTGTGAGTTTGAGGCCAGCCTGGTCTACAGAGTGAGTTCCAGGACAGCCAGGGCTACACAGAGAAATCTTGTCTTGAAAAAACCAAACCAAAACAAAATTAAGACATTCAGGTACCTTGGTGGTTTCTCACAGGTAGTGGTAACAGTTTGTGTCTCTCAGGTTTACTTTGCTCTCACCTAACATTTTCTGCACGTAGACACACTTGTACGTAATTCAGGATGTTTCACTGCTTTTTGTTGGTTGTTTTTTGTCTTGACATATATAGTCTAAAGCCATGGCACTAACCTTCCTAAGGCTGTGACCCTTTAATACAGTTCCTCATATTGTGGTGACACTGTAATCATAAAATCATTCTATTGCTACTTCATAACTAATTTTGCTGCTGTTATGAATCATAATGTAAATATCTGATAAGCCACTCTTACAAAGGGGTCACAACCCTTAGGTTGAGATCCACCAGTCTAAGGCCTCTTTGTTGTTTTATTTGAGGGATGATACCTTGTCAGCACTGTTCACAAACTGTGTGTGCGTCACCACACAACAAAAGCAATGTCTTTTTTCCTTTTTTCTCTGTTACAGTGCTGGGGACATAGCATGTGCCTTACCGTTGAGCTGTGTGCCCAGCCAGTCACCCTTCTAAAATAATTAATTTTTATGTGTACGGATGTTTGCCCTGCATGTGTGTCTGTGCACCATGTGCATTCGTTGCCTATGGAGGCTAGAAAGAGGTGTTGTAACCCCTGGAACTAGAGTTAAGACAATTGTGAGCACCGTGTTGGTGCTGGACTTTGAACCAGGTCTTCTGGAAGAGCAGACAGTGTTCTTAACCACTGAGTCATTTCTCAGGCTCCCTTGCTCCCAATAATTCTTTCCAAAAGCGTGGGGGTATTTTGTTGTTAGAAATATTGATAGTTATATATTTGTTTTTGTCAGCCTTAGATGTTGTATCATGGTATAACAGTAGTACCAACAATTGCTTATGTTCCTGCCAAACTGACCGTGTACTGGGCATTGTTCTAAGTTCTTTACACCTGTCATTTCGTCCGCAGGATCCCAGTGAAATAGATATGAGTTCATTTTATAGTGGAGAACCGTGGAGGAACATACAGCCTGTATCTTAGGCCTTGTAGCAGTAGTGCCTCCTTAACTGAGGTATTCTGAGGCATCTGGAAACTTGTCCTATAAAAGATTCAAGAGTGGGACTGGAGAGATGGCTCAGAGGTTAAGAACACTTGCTCCTTTTTTCTTTTTCTTAAATTTCTTAAATTTCTTTTCTTTTCTTTTTTTTTTTTTTTATTTTCAAGACAGGCTTTCCCTGTTTAGCTTAGTTTTGGTGCCTGTGCTTTATCTCACTCTGTACACCAGGCTGGCCTCAAACTCACAGAGATCCGCCTGGCTCTGCCTCCCGAGTGCTGGGATTAAAGGCATGCGCTGCCACCGCCCGGCAACACACATCTTTACAGAATACAAAAAGATTATTCCATAACATACGGATTTTTTTTTTTTTTAAATTTTGGATTATTTTATTTGGAAAGCACTCCACTTTCCAGACTTTCAGGAAGATGATACAACTGATTTCATTTTGCAAAATAGTTTCAGAAGTACATTATTATGTAAAGAAGTACATAATTATGTCTGTTTACCTCTTGTGTGCCTGGTGCACCACTGCCCGGCTCACTTGCTCCTCTTATGGAAAGCCCAGATTGGGTTTCCAACACCTACATGGTAGCTCATAACTACCTCTGTCCTCCATGGGTTCCTGCATGCATGTGGAACACAGGCATACCTCAAATACACATACACATGAAATAAATAAATTAATAAGTTTTTTAAAGGTTAAGAAGTAGCATATATATTTAGTGACCCCAAATACTCTCTCATCACCTCCTCTTTCTCTTTGCGCATGTGTGTTTATAACCGTATAAAACAGGAATTTTAGCTCATGGGAAGCATAGTGGCAGAGCCTGGACAGCAGGTGTGACTTTAGATATTCCTGACATGAGGTTCGAATGTCTGTGAAAATGATAACCTGATGGTTTGCTCTCTTCCCTGCCCCTGTCTGACTCTTGCCTGGACATCTGAGCACTCCACTTTCCAGACTTTCAGGAAGATGATACAACTGATTTCATTTTGCAAAATAGTTTCAGAAGTACATAATTATGTAAAGAACACTTGTATACACAATCAAATACAAACACACACTTTGGATCTTAAAAACATGAGCAGAGTGTGAAGGTGCATTTCTCTAATACCAGCATCAAGGCCACCTTGAGCTATAGAACTAGACTCTGACTCAGAAAACAAACCCAAAATAGAAAGCTTTGTGTATAAACATCCTAAAACTAAGATGTTAAAGCTGAGCATTGTAATTCATGCATGCAATCCCAGGACTTGGAAAGCTGAGGCAGGAGGCTTGCCATTAGTTGAAGGCCAACATTGGATACAGAGTGAGACTATCTTTAAAAAACAAAAAATAAAAGGCGCTGGAGAGATGGTTCAGTGATGGTTCAGTGGTTAAAAGCACTGACTGCTTACGGACAACCCTTGGTGACTCACAACTGTCTTGTTATCTCCAGTTCCAGGGGATTTACTGCCCTCCTCAGGCCTCCACAGGCAGGGCATATATGTATGTGGTACATACACATAGATGCAGGCAAACATTCAAATACAAACATTTTTTAAGTTTATTTTTTATGTTTATGAATGTTTTACTTTCATGTATGTGTAGACATAGTTTCTCGTCAGCTGACACAGAGACTTATTAATAATTATGAAAGCTTGGCCTGTAGCTTAGGCTTCTTTTCTTCCTTCCTTCCTTCCTTCCTTCCTTCCTTCCTTCCTTCCTTCCTTCCTTCCTTCCTTCCTTCCTTCCTTCTTCCTTCTTTTCTTTTCTTTTTTTCTTTTGCTTAGGCTTCTTTCTAACTAGTTTTTAAAACTTAAATTAACCCCTTTCTATTCATCTCCATCCTGTCATGTAGTGTTAGCTTTCTTCCATCTGAACCTTCTGTTTCCTCTGCAAGTCTCCTGGCTTCTTCCTGACATAGGAATAGCCTAGATTCCTCCTGCTCCTTCCTCTCTCTGCCCAGAAGATCCGCTTATACCTCCTGCCTACCTATCTACCATTCAGCTTTTTACGCCAATCATTGCAATATACCTTTAAACAGAATACAAATATCCCACAGTGTGTGTGTGTGTTGGGGGGGGGGGCACATGTGCACTTGGTGCCTGCAGAAATCAGAAGAGGGCTTTGGATTCTCTAGAACTGGAGTTACAGATGGATGTGAGCCACCATGTGGGTGATTGGAATCAAACCTGGGTTCTCTGCAAGAGCAACAAGCTCTTAACTATTATCTTTTTAAAGCAGTCTTTTTCAAAAAATTAGCATGCAGAATAATGGGTTTCTTGAGAATGGTTTGATATTTTTGTTCTTGTTGTTCGTTCTCTCCCGGTGCTCACTCCCACCCTGTGGTCTTCCTTCCGCAGCCCCCTGCTCTCCTCTCACCTGTGCTCTGTTAACTCTTCGTTCTCCCCTTCTTTCCTGTCGGATTTTTGACCTACGTGCACCCTACATGTATGCATTCATGTCTAAAAACTAAAATCTAGGATCCACATGTAGCATATGATCCTTCCTTCCTCCCTCCCTCCCTCCCTCCCTCCCTCTCCTCCTTCCTTCCTTCCTTCCTTCCTTCCTTCCTTCCTTCCTTCCTTCCTTCCTTCCTTCCTTTTATTTGTTTTTTGGTGTTTGTTTTTTGAGACAGGTTGATTCTTATTTCATTTAACCTAATGATTTCTTGTACCATTTTCTATAAATGTCATGATTTAATTTTTCTTTAGGCCTGTGTAAAATTCTGCTGTGTGCATGTACCCCATTTTCTTTATCCACCCTCCTGTTGCTGCATATGCTGGTTTTATTACTTAGCAATTGTGAATAGTTTGGTATTTTCTGTCATTTGTTTTCTTAATGTTAGCTGTTTTAACTGGGGTGAAGTGGAACATTAAAGTAGTTTTAACTCGTCCTTCCCTGCTAAGGATGTTGAGCTGGAGAGATGACTCAGTCAATGTGGACCTGAGTTCAGTTACCAGAATCCATGTGAAAAGCCGATGTGTGCAAGCATGCACTTGCAATCCCAATGCTGAGGAGGTTGAGACACACACACACACACACACACACACACACACACACACACACACACACA